ACTTTTCCGAGATTGAGCCAATATCTCTGTCTTTATTTCTCATTCTTTGGCCATTTTGGCTTTTTTCCGAGCTTGAATATTGGTTAGGTTTTGGGCGATATTCTATGCTTCATTTTTGTTGGGGCGACATGGCCAAAATCGACCAAACACTAACAAGCCGAGTTTGGCTTTCACGCCTAGAGAGAGAGAGATATGCGTGCACGGAGTCAGCAGGGCTAAATTACACGTTCGATAAAATAAGCGCGAGGGCACACAAAGCGTGCCCGTGAAGCGCTCAGCCACACGCGCACGGATCCTTTGTCCGCAGCCGAGCGAACGTGTTTTTCAGGAATTCGCGCATTTGGGCGCTCCGATTCTGTCTGCGTATATGCATCCGCGCGCGCGGCCCACTTACCCCTTTTACCATAGCAGAACGCGCATCCCTTTGTTTTCTAGAGGCCTCCATTATGCTTTCAAACATGGATAACCGACTGACAAGTCAAATCGCGCGCAATATTATACAATGGGCACAAATAAAATAGGAATAAATCTACTGCCGATCTTTCACTTTTTTTTTTGTAAATTTTTTATTATACCACTGCAAGTGTAGAGACATTTGTCTACTTGCTGTTCTAACTATTATTAGTTATTTCAGTATTTCTGGTGTGGTAATTTTTAAGATTTTTAAAATATTCGAATTTTCCATATATAATTAATTAAATCTTACTTAATAATTTTATTATTTAATTCATTACATAATATACTAGAAACTAGAACAACGAAACAAAATTTTTGAAATAAATAAAATATCTCTTACAAGTGAACTACGTAAATATTCTCAGTTGAGTAACTAAATTGACCTATTGATTTAATTACTATACTGAAGTAAAATATCAAAATAGTCTAGCAATCGACGAACCTGTCGGAAACATCTAAATCATTTTCTATTGCAAACATCGAAAAACACTTTTTTATGTGTATATAGGATTCTGTTGTTTTTAGAAACGATTTTAGAGATTTGTTTTTTAGAAATGTCCATTACGCCACGGGAAACGGGATGCAGTATCCAACTAACCAGCGAACGGTAAACCGTGTAAAACCGTTTCGTACGCTAGATTCGTGCTAGTTAATGGAAAGATTTCTATCCAGCGAGGATTGATAACGCAGCTGTAGAGCTAGTTTTCATCGTCTGAAATCTTTGAAGTGCTCAAACTAAAAGTGAATACCCCCAATGCTTGACACACATACACACATACATACACTGATCTGTATTTCACAATTTACCTGATAATTTACCGCGGGGATTATTACATGATGGATGTAGAACACGGAGTTTGCAACAATCGCGCACTCTGCATTAGCGTAGCGTTGTAATTAATTATTTTCATTCATTATGCCGCACACAATGATGTTTGCTAGCATTAAATTAGACAACGGAACGTTGCATCGGCGAAAACTCGCAGCAGCGAGTACCTGATGCTTCGATCTAAATAATTCGCTTCTGGTTTAAATAAAGTGTTGAAACTTCGTTATCGTGAAACAGGTGCAACATTCAATGCACGCGAAATTGAGTAACTGACACGATATGCAGAATAACGTGGAAGTCCGTAAATAAACACCGTATGTTGTTTAGAATGAGATTAGCGTCAGATTGCCGCGACTACGTGCGTGTGTAGGTGTGTATTTGTGTATGTTTGTGTTTACAAAGGAAATAACAGTTTCGGACTTTAAATTACTGACGACGTGGCCCATATATTTTTCTCGGAAATAAATTTTTCCCGCCTCTCATTAAATAACGCATTTAACGAAGTTTCCGTTTAACTTCGCCTAACTTTATGTTCAGAGATTAAATTTCCCGTTTATTTGCCATTTCTTTTTACGAGCGGTTAAAGGACTTTTCGGAATTTGGCGTTCGTGGAAGCCCCTTCCGTATTTCAGTTTCGCTTGGATACTTTGATGAATACGAGTAGCGGCCAAACATGCGCTCGCTACTTTCAGGCTTCCAGAATCCAGAACTCGATTTGCCGCCACACCTACATGCAAGATAGAATCGAGATGTGGAGGCGTTTAGAATGCCGAACTTTTCTACGGCCGGAATCGAATTCTCGGTGAAAGGAAGACCCACGCGTGAGGGTGGTATAACGTGGATGCCTTCCTCGCGCGGATCACGTGAGCTGAACTTTCCTTCGTGCAACATACCTGTTTTCGTGAATTAATGTTATATTTGCCACAGTGCCACATCTTATTTCGCGCGCACTTCGTCGAATGCGTTTAATAAAGCAGCGATTTTTTACGTCGCATTTGTTACTGTTTTACGATAATAGTTTTTCAGTTTTATATCAACAGTAACGAAAGAATGCGCATAACACAAAATAAAAGGAGCAGAAATAAAAAAGATATTTCTTATATTTTTATTACATTTAGTGACAGATAAAGACACTGCATATATACATAGTGTGATTAAAAAATCGAAAAACTATACTAATGTAATTAGAATTACAAAATCATATTGCAGTCATGCATGTTATTTGATAATTGAATCCGTGACCCTTATTATTCACATTTCTTAAAATGGTATGTTTAAACACAATTACTATTTAAATTTCGTAACACTTGCATAGTTATCTGCATATGAGAATATCTATCAATCATTGAATATATTAAATAATAAATAAATGTGACAGGATATATTTGAATTAACAAACCTTGATATAAACTTATTCAAATTATTTAACTCGAATGATTATAACGTTTATAAAAGACATACGTTAAATATTATATTGAAATTTATAAGGTCTCTATGTTTTTAAATGTTAGATATTAAAGTTTTTATATATTAGCTGTACATAACACATATTAATAATTCAGAACAAATAATAAATAATATCTGAGATGATCGGTGAAACTGTTTGGGAAAGGTCTAAGAGACACATGTTAACTTTTACTAAACATAAATATTGATATATTGTTTGAATCTTGCTAGTATAGTTAAGTCAGTTAGCTTTGTTTCTAATTACTCGATTCTATATATATATATATATATATATATATATATATATATGTATATTTAGATTAAGTACATGTTTTGTACACTTTGTATGTGTACGTTTGTATTCACATTATCAAACTAAAAAGTATAGCTTAGCTGTGGAGCTGTGCTTATTATAAGATTTAAACAAAGAGATCCGTATTGAAGTTCGATGCTTTTTCCATTTATAGGTTTTTCTGTCAATAGGTAAATCTATTATTTCTTGGCGTTATACGTTTTTAGAAGTCAGAATAATTACTCATTTTACACAGTAATTATTTGATTTCTTACTTTCAGGACTTGTCAAAGATCTAATTTCTAATTTAAGAGCACTTGTCGAAAATGTCGATAGCTGAATCACTCGGTCAATTTGACCCATAAAACTTTCAAATTTTTTCTATTTAAGGAAACAAATCCGATTTTTTTAGTTCTACAAAGTGAATATAGGATTTAATCAAATTTGAATCAAAATTAAATATGTACGATATCCTCCGAACGATATGTGAGATGTATGAGATAAAAATAATGGTAAAGTAGAATATGATATATGCATTATTTGAATATGTATGTCTTTTAAAAGATGTAATATCTATATATCTCATAATTTTTCTTCTTTTCTTTTAAAGTAATGAAAAAAAAATAGATACACATTTTATATTCGATAAAATCTCTCCTTCTCAGTGGAAACTAAACTCGTAAATTTTCTTTTTTTTTTTATATGTACGAGCGTAAAGCCATGAGTGTTGAAAGATTTGGTCCATAGTAATTCCGAGGGTAACATGAATAAAGTTTTGCGAATGCGACGCGGACGGTCGCGTTTTCGGTGAGCGTATCGCGTATGCACCCCGCCACGCGCATCTTTTTTCCTTTTTTTTTTATGCGAACGCGTTCGCACGACGTAAAAGGCATGTACGTCCGTTACGTATCCATGGATTATTCAAATGAGGTCAGGACGAGAAGCAGGCACATTCGAGCTTGCCACACCAGCGGCGCAGTCTCCTTGAATCGTAATCTGCTGTCGAGGGCAAACATTCTAAATCACCTGCGCTGCCCGGAAATAGGTCGTATCCGTGAAAATTTTAACAAAGCGCGTGCATACATGAAGGGAAAAAAAATTCTTTCGCGTCTTTCGCCCTTTCGGCTGCATCACAAATACCGGGAATTTCATTTGTCGAGAAGCTGTGTGGCGAAGCGTGCACTCAAATTATTCAAACGATGTGGAAGATCGCAGTCAAAATATTACCGTTACCGTGCTTTCGATATCGCGGATATATATGCGCCATGTAACGCGATCAAGTAAATAAAACCACGCTATGCAGTTTTTTCTTTTCTAAAATAAAAAACATGCAAAGCAGTGACCCCGCGAGGATCAGAACTATATAAGTGTAAAAATCAAATTGTACGCTGTCGTCAACTGTTTCAGACCGCATATTAAATTACAAGTAATATACAAGTGATATACAATGCCATGCATTGTATACTTGGTAACAATATTTTTCCTATTTGCCGTAAACTTGTTGGGATATACGTATATACGGCTTCATACATGCTGTTCAAATAATGCCGCAAGACGTCGTTATGGCGATGTGCAAAATGCCCCATAACTCGTACAGCGCATTTCCCCGGTGATTTACATCGAAAGAAATGAGCGAAGCGCGCGGGTGCACAGGTCGTCTTCCTAAAAAATTTAATAACAAGGTAATTCAGAAAGGGCCGGAGCGCGGAAAGTAGTTTCTAATTCACGAGAGTCGGGGTAAAACAAGCGGAATTCAGGCTCAGTTCCGCGTTTGTTTTCTCCCGGCGTTTCCACCGCCTTTATAACTTCTATTTTTCTTTGCCTTGATAAAAAAGTTTGCTGCCGGCGATAGCCTTCGCCCGGTAATTGCGGCGTCGTTTGTCGAGTTGCTCCCCTCTTCCCCCCTGCCACTCGCCAAGACAATCGACTTAATTAAATTACCGTGATTATACCCGCTGGTCATCTTTCTTCCCTCAGATCGACGCGTGCCCTACAACATCCCGTCGGATTGGAAGGCCCTTTGGTTCAGCAATCTCGACGAGCTGCAGAGAGTGAACGAGGCGAACGACAACAACACCGTTTCTAACGTCACGGTGCAATTGGGCGGCACCGCCTTTCTGCACTGCAAAGTTCGCAATTTGGCAGAGAGAACCGTTTCCGATGCCGAGGTAAGAAAGCAACTATGTAACCCTTTGCATCGTCGCGAGAGAAACTCTTAAAAGAACCGACCGATTTTCAACGAATGGGCGAATCGAGTCGCAATCGGGACTTTCAAGTACGACGAGCCGATTTCTCTCGAATGATTATTATGCCTCTTTTGGCCTTTTATGTCGATTTTGCGATTCTCTTCTCGAGGTTCTTATCGTGCTTTTGTGTACATTTCATAAAGAAAGGTATGACAGAAAATTTATGTTTGCATCTGGAGCTATCGTGATTATGTATCAGTTATGAGGTAAAATAACTTGATGATACATTTACGTATTCTGAGAACCAATAAAATTTATTTGAAATAATTGCTCATCGATGTTTCATTATATGTTTTTAATTATACAATTAACTCTTATCGATCTTCCTCCTGAAGCAAGATATCTAAATATACCAAGTATATCATTTATATTGTTTCTTGATGTATTGGAAAAGTAACGGTAGAGCATTTAGAGAATTCGGCAGAAGTGTCAAGTTATAATAATCACACAAAAAGTTTCCTCCTAGTTTTTATCAAGAACACTTCTCTCTCTCTCCTAGCAAATTCCAGTAAATTACTTGCAGCAGTACAGTAACGTAACATATTTCAATGGTTTTTTTTTTTAGATTCAGGGTATGCTTTTATTTCATGACGCTTTATCGTATATAATTTACGTAGAGATAATGCCTACGTATGAGAAGTTATGCTAATGCCTACGCAATAGCAACACGAACGTAGTATACACGGTTAATCTTGTCCTGTGTAACCATAGAACAACTCCATACAAATTTATTCATGTACACGAACGTAATGGCCTCCTTTCGCACATCCACTCTGACGCTTCGGAGTGGTAAGGCGATCGATGATCGCGACGCATTGAACCCTGCTGAGAGCACGGTAATCGGTATGCGATTCCACGGAAAACGAGGAGCTCGTATTGTATACAGATAGACGCAATAATGGCGCCTGCTGGGAATGTCTTTATCAAGCCTGTAGCGACTTTCTTCTGAGAGATCGATTTTATCCTCTCATTGTTCTTATTTTGATCATCAATATTTCATAATAAGATGGAAGAACAAAAGCCGTTCTAGAGCCATCTCTTCTACGCGTCACTACTGCATCAACTTGTATTCGATGGCTCGGCATCGATACGCTAAATCGCTCGTAGGGGCGTGCAAGATTGATGCCAGCAAAAAGCCGATGACCGCGACAAATCCGCCCCAATTCGAAAGGACATCCTTACAACGACGACGATTCGGTCCGGGAACTTAGGAACTTTCACGTAAGAGCAGCGAACTAAGCTCACACAGTATCAGCCATCATAGCCTTCTTCGTCATTGTGAAATTTATAGGATCGGATATCAATGACCGAAAGTCGGCTATTGCTCAATGTTGTCGAACAACATTAGCGCTTCCAAACTTTCTATTTTAAACCTTCGTCTCGACGTCCGACCGATTTTGATGACATATAATCGATACTTCCGCAACGCAATGATTTATACGAAATTTAACTTCCATTAAGAGCACATTATTGCTTTCTTTTACACTGGTAATGATATGTTTGTGTTTACGAAGTTTATTTGGATTTCCAATTTCGGAAATGTTTATCGAGCGATTAATTAATTTGTTTGCTTATTTTATATAATTCAACCATCATTTCGTTTAATTACAATTCCTAAATTGTAATATAAGATATCGCGCTAACGTCACGAAATTTCATGTGTTTCGCTGCATGCAAAACAACGACCCACTTGTGTTTGTAAAACGTCGAGATTCTCAATTTTAATGAAATTTAACTGATAAACCACAAGTTAAAATAATTAAATTATATTATTAACGAATGTTATTTGATCGTTAAATAATTTACAAACTCTGCTGATAATTTCAAATGAGAAAATATTAGCTTGTTAAGCTTTATGACTCACCTAATTTGACTTCAACAGTTTATGAAATGAAACAAATTTATGATAATAAACAAATTGAAGGATTTATGATGCTAAAGAAAATCATTTCATTCTTATTTTGTTATTATTGTACATATAATTTTATTAATTATTGGAGAATTCTGTGCAAATATTTTTAGTAGATAATTAGGAAATTTTATTTATATTTTTGAAATTTTGTGACAATTTATAAGAGCTAGTTCTCTTATAAATTTTATATATTTTAACCATAATGGAAAGAATGCGATATATGTTTATTGTGAATATAAATGGTAATAAAAAAGTTAGCACATTTATTTCCAAACGTGCAACATTCCCAAGAGAGCGATTATCTTCGGAGCTTCGAGATGATAAAAAAGTGATTTTCTGTGAAATCTCAAATGCCGCGAACGAAGCAGTCGCGAATCGGCTAGATGAAATCACTCAGAAATCCCGCCGGTTGGGTGATCCGCAAATTCACTTACGACGTCGTTGCTTTTAATTCAATTATTTATGACGAATTCGACGAGCTGGCCGGTCCGCTCGATCCTGGCGCACGGCGTAACTGCTTTATCGCGTTAGCAGTCAAACCAGGAAAGATTGATGGCGACGAAAAGTCGAACACCGCGAAGTAATTTTGATAGAGCGGCCGGCGCTCTCTGCGAAGCCGCGCACCGCGCTATTAGTATCGTCTGAGAGGATTTTTTTCCCTGTCCTTGGTCAATGCGCATAACAGTGACATTGGGAATGCACGAAAGCAAAAGGTGTCAAGTTAAACACGAAAATTGCTTATCAACATCTTGTTGATTTTTTATTGGAGGGAAAAGCGCTCTCTCTCTCTCTCTCTCTCTCTCTCTCTCTTGCGCGCGCGCCCGCTCACTCACTCACTCGCTTTCTTTCTTGCGGCAGCGGTATCGATTCGTGTAGCATCGCTAGAGAGCGATATTAATGAATTACCCTTCGAAATTCCGATAATTAACGCGGCGTACTTTATTGGATCGGGAAAGCCACTTCGTGCCGAGATAAAACTTGAATTGGGAAGAAGACTAAATAAATTCACTGAGATGTGTATGAAGAAGTATTTTGATATTGACCAAAGAATGATTAATTCGATTAAAATGATTATTATTTAATTTCTTTGCGCGCAGTTACTTTAGTTGATCAATCTTTAAATAAACGATCAGATTTGCAGTTGCATAAAGCTAATGTACTATTCAATTCAGATTTTAAAATTGTATTTCCAAAGATGGATACGAATGGGTATGATCTCTATGAAAGATTCTATATAAATACGATAATACGTTGTTTATTTTGAAGAATGAAGAAATAAATATGAAATATGTGCACGATAGACTTTTAAGATATCGAAATCTTTTTGTTGGAAAGATTTAATAAATAAACAATGTTATATTTATATTTGCATCATTAGAATATATGCGAAATATTCTATTTATAAAAGATTAATTTCCTGGATTTATCTTAAGGTCTGTTAGAATCGCAAATATAATTCCTTACATTCCCACTGTAATTTTCTCGAAGCGCACCAATGAGAATACATATAAGAGAAGGATGAAATATGTGGTTTTGTAAACTAGCGTAATTAGTATGAAATGTGGTTTAACATCGAACGCAGGTGCGGGGAGCAGGAAACCCAGCGGGATATCTGACTTGGCGTCTTTGAGGGACAAGGGTCCTTTGTCTTGACGATCGTCGCGGTTGAATTGAAGCCATGGATTTGGTCGTCGTAATGGTCCACTTCCGCCTTCAGACATTAATTTCAACCCCTCGCTTGTGTGTGCGTCGTTCGATAAATCGATAACCACAATAAGAGAGGGATCTTGTGAAAGATTAATGTCTCAATGATATCTCTCAATCCTACCGGACAATCAATAATTTCGGGAAAATTCTTTTTGTTAATAGTCGCGGCATAATATGTACATACAAGTTTTACGCTGTTTTATGACTTTTTTTTATATTCAACGTTATTTAACGACGCATATGTGCGCTTTCAGTGGCATAATAATATTTCACGATTAACCCCTGAACCATCAACCACGTTGCATGCAGTCGATATATCACGGGATTAAAAATAACATCCTGGATATCGATGCTTTCATAAAGTCGACCGCTGGCCGTTCCTTAAATCATGTGACATGACTTTAAAGGACGCGGAAGTCACTTATCTTCCTAACCAGCAAAAGCGAATGAATGAAAATATGTGTATGATGATTTATGACGGACTGCATGAGAAAATGATAGCGGTTATTAAAACAGCAGCTGATGCCGAAGTATAATCTAATAATTACTAAGAGTGGCATCTAAATGTGCAAAGAGAGTGTATTGGAATCGCAGATTTCAATAAATCATCCATTCGGATTTAGAATTACGGAGATGTTGCGGAATTGAGAGATTCTACGGTGCGGGAGAAGGAAGCACACTCTCGCAGGTATCCAGGACATTTCCCTTCCTATCTGTACAAAATGCGAACTGGCGTCGATTCCGAGGTACTGATTTGTAGTCCCTTCGGGGAAACATTTCTCATTACAATTGTATGCGGAAAGCAGCGTGGACGCGATCATTTATTGCGCCGAAACTGCACGTTCCGACCTCAGAATTCCCGACGATGGACTCGTGCCGACCACTCATCTTGGCAACGAGCAGCGGTAACTGCCGGAGTCGGCCGACAGATTTGGGTTATCCGACAGGTCGGTCCATTGTCCCCTAGTTGTAGTAGGCTAAGCAAACCCGTCGCCTGCCGCACACGGGCTAATCCGCCGTTCATTTTATTGAACTGTTTATGATGTCTCGAAGGGCGCACATTGGATGAGACGCTTGGGATTTTCGGAAATTGCCAAAAGACAAACAATTATTTCAAAGTTTTTGTAATTGAATATATTACATTTTTTTATATATATAGTTCTTAATTGTTACATAACAGACTCGCAAATCATTATTCCGCGAGCATAAATAGAAATAAAATTAAGATTTTAGATTTAGATTTAGATTTTAATAAATTTATTTAAATATTTAAAATAATATCCAACTAGGGCAGCATTTATAA